TCGTGACTCTCCGAGATGCTACTAGGGAATGTCGTACCCTATGTTGGCAGAAAGTAATGCAATCAGAGGATGTAGTACCCTGTGTTGGTGATAATATGAGTCTACTGGTTTCCAAATCTAGCAACACTAACTTTTCTAGAACCTTAAATTCGGAACCGCGAATGAAATCTCGAACTCCGTCTTCAAACTCCTTTTCTCTTTCACGTTCAATTTTTATCTTTCTTTTTTTCATTCTCTTTCCTTCTTTTCCTTCTCTTCTTTTTTATCTTTTCACTTCTTTCTTCTTTTTATCTTTTTTGTTTCTTTTTTTCTTTTTATCTTTTTTTGTTTCTTTTTTTTTTTTTTGTCCCCAGCCCCCGTGTGTGTGTTTTATTGAGGGATAGGGGTTGTCAGTGGGGAAAGTGGGGAGGTGGAGACGTGAGGGGTATGGGGAAAATGGGGTTATGGTTTATTTTTATTTTTTAAATTTTTTTTTATTTAAAAGTAAAATCAGATTTTTAAATAAAATTTTATAATAAACTTCAGCACTTTAACGTGATTTTAGTTCATTTTGAATCTTTTTTTTTTATCTTTTATTTTAAAAGATAATTAAATTATGAAGATAAGAAGAATAACCAACATTTCGTACAATATAGTAAAACTAAATATTTACATGTACTTTAAATGATAGCTTACTTATTAAAAGAAACCATATATATACATATATTTTATTTTTATTTTTTTTAGAAATAAAATTTGTACTCTAAGAATGAGAGTATTTTTGTAGTTTTTTCTTTAAAAATAAATCATATTAAGAGTAAGATAAAAGTTTAAATATTAAGATTAGATCTAAAAGAAATATTTACACAAAAATAATATAGAATTCGGGTATGTTCAAAAATTAGTTGTTCACACCCCCCTCCCCTCCCCACCCCAACCACAAAAAAAACCCCTCCTCTCTCTCGAAATTTGTCTCCGTTTTAGTTCCTACTAATAATATAATTTATACTATGATATTCCTAAAAGTAACACACAAAAAAAAAAAAAAAGATTTTCATATTATACCAACTATAACAAAGTTCAAAATATTTATCAACCTTTTCTTAACATCTAACTTGCACAATGTACAGACTTCTTAAGTAGTTGTAGCAAAAAAATAGAAATTAGTTTGTACAACTATAATTTTTTTTTTAGATAAAACTGACTATAAAGTTTCTGAATAGATACTATCATCTTAATCTTAGGGGAGATTGAGCTTTTTCATCACTAATCAGCCTGGCAGTTGAACCATAATAGACCATGTAGTAAACCTCTAGGTATCTGTCTTTTTTGCTTTTAGGCATCTGGTATCCAAAATCTACTGATGTGACTAATCACAACGCGTTTCAAGCAGTGGCATTAAGTGGTAAGAGCATCAGGAAGATTTGTGGGTGCCCCTAGAATCTTACCACCAACATCAGGGAAGCATTCAAATCCAGGCAGAGTTGTGACATCTCCATTCTTGCTGACCTGAATTGGATATTGCATCAAATGCCCCTTCATCTTATTGTACTCATCCCCTGAAAATGCATTCCAGTTGTATCTCGCTATCTCATTAACGCGTCTAACGCATTCCACTGTCTGTGGCTCCGTGAAGGTATTCTCCACCACTCCAAGATGCTCAGCCCAGAGAGACATCCGATAACCATAGACCTGAATGCAAAAAGATCCATTTCCATTGATAAATAGTCGTCGAATTTCACTTATATGCACTGACCATGTAATGAAGATTTAACTTTGGTATAGAAGGTTACTAATTCATGCAGAAAAAGGTTAAATTGTATTTTCAAACCTGGCCATGTGGATGACTATCTTTTTTTGCCCATGTATAATTTGGTTGATAAGCTCCCATAGCAATTTCTGTATCCCTAGAACCACTCAAAGATCTTTGGTTGATATTTGCAGAACCCATCAACACATACTCATCATCTACTATCATTCCTTTTGAGTGTACATATATCATAAATCTCCCAAATTTCTGAGCCAATCCCTGTGACACAGATTTCTCACTTTTACCCTTTGCTACCTCGCGCTTCCCCAGGCAGTAGAAGTTCAAGTAATCCTGAGGATGAAAATACTGAGAAACCCCTGCCTTATCTAAAGCCTCTGCCACTATTTTGTACATCATAGCCATTGTTTGGCTCTGCGATATATATAATTGCAATACATAAAAGATTAATAGTGAGGCATATGAACAATCAGTTCAAAAAAGCAGGCATGCATTTACCAAATAAGAAGTAGAGCTAATTCGAACCTGCCAGAAGAGAATTTCTTGGACTGGTTTACTGCTTGGGACGCCTTCAGGCCACATTGGAACCACAATGTATGCTGCAAAAGGTTCATTTGCTGCTATTTTTCTGGCAATTTTCAAAGCTATTTCCATAGGGACTAGGTTATTAGCTCCTGTTAGAAAGATATAGTACTAATATGTTATATATTGACATCTATGAATTTTGTTAAAGATTCTAAAAGCCATTCATTTGCATCTTAAGCTTCTCTTCTTCAATCATATACGAATGTTCTGTGCTTCTCTCCTCGAGATAAATCAAACTGATCATTCAGATGCAGTTGAAATGACAAATTATGGATGATAAAGTTTGAGTTTATTGTTAAGAGCTGTTAGTTTTGGACCTCCTGGTAATCATTTGTATAAGATCTTGAATTTATGCTAAAAGTTTTAAAGAATAAAAGTTGAAATTGAGTTAAAAAACATTTGCATATATACCTGAATTTCGGTGCGATGGCCAGCTATATGCAGAACCAAGAAAATACTGATTCTCTACGTAAACAAAGTGCTGGGCTGATCGAATTGCTTTCACATAAGCCAAATGTATGCTTCTTTCTATCTTCAAATTTTTTCCACTGACAAGATTCTGCAATTGTACATAGCTAATTTGACATGTTCCATTTTCACTTTCTGAAACTAGTACATAATATATACAACTAAGGTTTTCAAAAAGCTTTAGTATTATACCTGAGCTTCAGCTTCCTTAATGTCTTTTGGAAATCCTTTTACTGATCCTGAATCAATTGATCGAAATACCTGGAAAGAGCGCACAACAAATTATTAGAATGAATTACTAGTAATGATTGACAAAGAAGCAAATGAAGAAATATACTTGCACATGCCAACTCTCTGGATCTTGTTCACTTGTGACACGGACCACACGGTCACCATCTGGCCCAGCAGAAGGCATGCGAATTGCTGCTATTCGATCTAATTTAAGCAATGTATCAGATCCTTGTTTGACTTTCCTTAGTTTGAGCCATTTAGTGGCCTTGTTAAATCTTTGCTCAAAGTTTGTCAAAACATCATAAGCAGCAGGACCGTCAATTTTACAGTGTAGATCATGCCATGGTTCTCTTGGGCCACCTGAAGTAGTCTGTATGTATCATAAGAGATTACATCTACCAATTATTAGCTACCAGGAATGTCTCAATGGAAAATGCAAAAACTACATTCGAAAAGAAAAGGTATTTTTACTTGTTTTCACCTGCATTCGAAATAATAACATGCAAAAATCCAAGCTATAAATCCATCAAATAGAAAATGGAGTGTATCTTTGATGTGAATAAGAATTAAGCTCAAGCAATTGATGGACTAAGTATGGAGAAAAGGTTATACTTATAGAAGATTTTCTGGTTCCTGAAGAAGTTTAAGGGCTCTTATAAAACCTTAAACAAAAAACTTCAAAAGATCCAGATTAACAGCTTACTGTGAATGTAGGATTATGAACATCATTTCCAAAGACAGTATCGAGATCGCTAAACAGTCTATGCTCGGGAGTGTCATAGCGGCCATCACATAAATCCAGGCCACCAATAAAAGCAGTTATTTTCCGTTCATTCCCAGGTGCTTCTGTGTCAACAAGCACACACTTCTGATGATGTGTAAATAGGTTTCCAACAATCTGCAGAAGAAATTTATTCTTAATATGATCAATAGATGAATCATGATTATGGTTAGCTGTCCCCTTGATTCAATTCTTCTTGAAGATAACTACTTGCTTGTTCTAGATTTACAACTTCTCCAAATATCAAAATCATCTTGCTGTTAGAATTTATCCGTCAAATACTTTCCCCTCCACCTGCCCTTAAGGGAAAAGAAAGTATGTACCTGTCTCTTCAAAACACTAAGCTTACTGCTGGCGGAACGAGGACAAAGCACACAGTGTACACTTGAGTATTTAAAAAACTTTCTCGTCTCTTCATCATGAGTCTGCATTACACCTTCCTGCATTCGAGACAATAAAACAAATATTATTATACTTTCCAAACAGCTATATGTAGGAAAAAGACTGCAAAATGGATTGCCATGAGATATTCAGCCTGAGGCTCAACATTGAATCTGAAATATTACCGTTTTGAGGAATAAATCATCATTTGAAGTTTTATCATCCCAAATGAGCAAAATGACGCGAACTCCTTCTTGTGACTTGTACTTGAGCAAATCTCCAAGTGTTCGTTCCCCTGCAGAAGGCAACGGCCTTGTAGGTTCTCTTACTAGTCGTATAGGATGATATACGGACCAACCAACAACATATATTAAATACTTAGCCTCCAACATGGCATGACAAATGTCTTCCCAACATTTGTTATGATTAAAAACCTTCCCATCATCTAGCAAAATTTCAGGAAGTGTTGCATCAGGTACATGGGCATCCTGATAAAGAGTAACATTCCCTCCTTTTCGCAGTGGAAAATAAGTATGCGGTACTCCTACTCTATTGGCCTCACCTCCAACACCATTTCTATATATAGGGTTCTCTGCCATTGGCTTGTATTGGATTGACAGATGCAGTTGAGCACCGGTTTTCAATGGATCCCCAGAAGATCCAAGAATAGGGAACCAACCACTTATTTCTTTACCAACATGAATTTTATCAGCAGGAATTTCCACCTTTCCAATCAGTTCACCACCTACCCCATCATCGTCCTTGACAAAAAATTCTACTTTGTCAACTTTGTGAGCGACTGGTATGCGTACATGCTCATTCCATGTTGGGTTTTCATCGTTGCGAATCACTGTTGTTCGAGCTACCTTTGCCCCGCCTATACATACAGACACATAGGGGTCACTAGTATCTATTATTTTACGAGTTGCTGATTTATTCCCTGTATCCTTGCTCTTAACCTTTCGCGTCGTCCCAAAAGGACTAAACTTAGAACAACATGTCATGTCCATGTTTGGAAGTGAATTTGCTTCTATAACCCGCAAGTCCAGTTCTCCGTGCAGAAGTACTGAACCTCCAGGTATGTCAATACCATGTTTTCCAGCCATATTTTGCAGCTAATCAGTAACTCAATTTGACATTGTTTTGCCAAAAATGGCAACTGATAAGGATTGTATGCGCTCCCTCACATGAATTAAGGCATGTGGCAACAAGCCTGGAAGTGTTATATCAAATACATGTCTTTGTCTAGCAAGCATAGAGATGGTCAATTATGCTTCATTGCAATTCCTTCACCGAAGCATATCCAACGGCGTGGAACTGATCCCAACTGGAAAAACGAAAAAAAAAAAAAAGAGAAAATAAAGTGAACACAGATAACAAAGTGCAACCATTTGTTCAATTATTTCATACATGTCTTTGTTGGATCTAGAATGGTTCTATATGTTAACATGTCAATCAATAAACAACCACAAATTTATTATTAAAAAGAATCTGTTTTTCCTCAACACACTTTCCACATTTTCGAACACCTTTCTGTTTCATATTGAGTCCTAAGAGTTGCGTGTACAGTCACTTAGTCATTGGCGCGAAATATCTCCTTCTATTATTGTGAACCCGTGGAATTGTTCCCAGCTCAAAGGTACCTCCTTAGAGCTTAACCTCTACAAAAGGTCAAAACAATGTACGCGCACACATTACCATATTAAATTTAATTCACCACGTTGAGACATGCAAGAAAAGATCACAAATCCACCATTTTCGCGAGTAAAAACAACATGTATATCAGATCTCTAAACCTTGCCTAGGTTTGTAACATACACGAACAGAAAATTGTAACGAATGCCAAAAGATTGGCATTGATAACAAGAATTTACGCTCTTTTATTTGCATGTATATATATAGGACACATATAATATATATAGATCATTAACATATTTTGCATGATCTGTTTGAGGTGGGGGTAGGGGGGAAGAAGAGTGTTAATTTACCTTAATCAATAATGATATTGAGAAGAAGGGGAAAAGAGAAATGAAAGGATCCAAGGAGACATTTTGAATTTTTGTTTGTTTGAGTAAAGAGAGTCAGACATGAGAGTCCGGATTTGGCGGGAAATAAGGAAATAAAAACAGTTATTGTTGGGGTTTGTTTATACAGAGGCTAATTATACGCTCTGCCGTTCTTATTTTTCCCTCCTTATCTGTCTTTTATTCGTCCGAAAATAAAATTTGCAGGAATTGTTGAAGTAAAAGTAAAATTGGGGTACAACTATATATTTCAAAATTCTTGGCAGGATTTCGCAATCACTCGCATACACAAATGAAGATTGAGCTTATTAACTTTTTGTTTTTATGTTTTTGTTTTATGTCGTGCTACAAAATTGTTTATTGTAGTGTCATTGAGATGCTTTCCTTGTTCAATTTCTGATTGACAAGAGAAGGCATGTCATTGATTTGTATATCTTGTGAAATGCACAAATTTGTTGGTACAATCATTGAAGTCGCGTCGAATATACCATAAATATATTGTTGATTCTTATTGCGTTAAGTCACTTCAACAAACGTTAATTTGAATTTCATTGACAGGACAAGAAAATTTCACTGTTATAAATATAGTACTATAACTATATTCACCAAATTATTATTACCCTATATTAATTCACTAAATTATTCTTACCCTCTCGTCCTAGTTTTGTTATGTACAACTCTTGAATAATACCTAGGAAACTTACTTTCACTAGTTGGTTTAACAAAAGGCAAAAAGGGGAGGATAGCTAAAAAAATTCACGTGGTGAGATATTAAACAAAATTGAATCACATTTTGAAATATGTTGGATTATTATACTGATCTGTTAAACGAAAAGTGGTGTAGTATTCTTCGTCCTTTAAAAAATCAACCTACCTCAGCTACCTGTATCCATAAAGATCTCCAAGTTGTTGGATACATCATGAATTTCATGCGTTATAATTGGTCAAACTATACTGAATAGCCGTTAGTTTGGGACGTCCAAAAATAGCCACGGTTTCAAAAGTAATGAAATTTAGCCATTTTTTCATGCAAAGATAAATTTGAACAAAACACTGTTCAAAATCTGAAAAATACTCCAGCATAATATACTGGAGTTCCAGTATAATATACCGATCCAACATAATGTGTTGGAAGTTCATACACAGGTGCTTCAATCTCCAGTATATTATGCTGGAACTTTCCGTGTGTTGGAGTTCCGCCATAATTTTTATTAATTAAAAAAACACATTAAGGTATATTGATACGATAATACGTTGAGCCGTTGAGGTGGAGATATAATTATAAATTGCATTTAGAGCCATTATCAATTTAAAAGTTAATTTGACTTCTAACAAATGTTGTTGTGTTGCTTGAAATTTAAGTGAAAAAAGTTTGTAATTTGACCTTCTGCAAATTTTGCACTGTAGTCTACAGATCATAAGACAAATAAAATTTGTATAATTATACATAAGTAATTATTAGTAAATGTTGGAACAGATTCGGAGATCTTTCAAACTAAAAAGCCTATTGCTCCTCTTATTTCGTTAGAGACAACATTTTTGATTTGGAAGTCAAGCTGTAATTATAGAAAAGAACTATTATAACAGCATCCCCCAGATTTTATTTTTATATCAATAGCCTAAATCATATTTCAAACTTATGGAGACAAGAAGCACTAGTGGTCTAGTGGTAGAGTAGTACCCTGCCATGGTACAGACCCGGGTTCGATTCCGTCTGGTGCATAAAGAGTGCTGTGAAGATAATTGCGCCACAGGTGAGAATTCTGGGTCTTCACCGAGTCTGATATCAGACGAAACTTCAGCTCATCTGAGCCTCTATTTTTTGCTTTAATTTCTTATTCCCCTCTATTCTTTAGATTCTTTCGTTAGATATAAACTTAAAAAGTTGATGTAAAACTAATTTAGAAACCGAGCACACAGGATGACAGGACGTAAGCAGGCAATGCCGAAAAGAAACTGTCTAGCTCCCTCAAGTGAATTTTTTTTATATTCCAGCTGGAGGACGGTTAACTTTAATCGATAGATATTTGATACGTAGCAAAAAAAAAAAAAAAAAAAAAAAAAAAAAAAAAAAAAGGGG